CTCATTTGCAAGCTGCTAGAACAAAATGTGAGCTGTGCAGAAAAAGAAGAAAAGGACTGAGCTGAACTGAGCAAGTCAGTGCAGAATTTGGTGTTCTCACAGAGTACAGCTATTTGGCACCTTTACTCGCTTTGTCCTTTTGTAAGAATATCAGAACTAACTTTTATGAAGCACACAGCTTGTTCTGCTTTTCCTCATTATTAGTTGTACTTTTCCTATTTGTTGTTTAATTTCAACAAATACTTTTTACAAACTACAAAAACAGACAATTTTAAACACGTATGGTTACTTCACTGAGGTAGATCTGTGAGGCGCAGTGGAGCCGACGACGACGTAGTTGCTTCAGTATTTGAAGAAACTGATCACTTTGCTCTTCTGACCTCGGTTACGTCAAGTGCATTTCAGTCTGTGGGATTCCTCTCGCGGCTTTTTACTGCCATGTTGTCAGTTCTCATTCATTTCCAAACACTTATTAATAAAAAATGATTTAGTACTAATTAACAAAGTCTCAATGGCTCAGTGGAAAGTTTTAGTGCAGCTTTAAGTAATGCCGATTTGTAATTTGAAAACTAATTCCTGAATAAATCATAAACAATTTGTTTAAAGAGTAGATTACTTCAATTTATTTTTAATCACAGCGACTGAATTTCTAATAATCAGAGACATAATAATGTTTACTCCACCCCAAACATTCGGAGAGAAAGGTAAGAAATCTCTTCAATCCTCATTTGAAGCTAAAGATGCAGAGACACCAGCTGGTGACTGGAGCTAACTCGACTCTGGATTATTCAATGTTTTATGTGGAGTGAATGTATCATACTCCAGCTCGTCTAATCAGCATAAAATCTGTTCAGCTTCAAAGACAGCTTCTTTAATGTATCAATATATTGATAAAAGCTGAAGTGAGAGGAAGCCTACAGGCACGACATGCTATTTAAAAGGGAAAACGTTTAAGGCGTTTCTGTGCAAGAGGAAGCTAAACGTTCAACCAACAGGACGGTGAGTCAGCATTTTGGAAATTTCAGGGTTAAAGTAGGAATAAATATTCTCTAAGGAATGAACTGTTTATTGAAAACAGTTCTTAAAATTAAAATTCCCAAAGAGAAACTGGAATTGGCTAGAATTAGCATTGGCGAGTCAAACCTGTACAAAACCAAAGATGGCAAACTAGCCTCAAAATTCTGTTTGTTGGCATCTCTGTGTAAAACTGATAACAGTAACCCAACATATTTACTATCAACACAATCCATTACAGCACGCTGTCCAATTTAGCCTTTAAAAAGCACAGGTAAACCCAGAATATTTGTGAGAAGTCTCTGCATCACTACAAATGATCAAAGTTGAGACATGCAGCTCTCCAGTGGGAATATGGGAGTATATCCAGGGAAACCCACATGGGTCAGAAGGATTACAGCGGCAGGGCGTGGCGGCCTGAGGCAAGCCTGGTGGATTATTGGTTCTAATTGGGTCAATCGTACATGTGTGAACAGGATTCGTCACACCAATGTCTATCCCTCAAACAAATATCTCCCTGAATGTCCCTCTTGTGTTCCTTTCGATGTCAATACCTCATAAATAGCAGATAATAGAGTTATTTCTGCTGCCTGTTTGTATGTGTTAACAGACGGAGGAGTAGAGCTCGGTTACTCCCGGTGGGGATTTTCTAATGTCACCAACCACTTAGCTCTTACTGAGAGGACACTCGGTAGAATTATATCCGAAAGGTGAAGGTTTAATTGATGTGGTGACCTTTTGGTTGCTTTATCAGCTTGTCACTTGGTTTGTATTTTAACACTGGGCATAATACTGAGCAGCATTCAGCTCGTGAACATGTGAAAAGGCTTCGCCATTCATTTGATGTGAAAGACGAACAAGCCGTGGTTCTGTAATCAGATTTTTTTTAATTATTTTGTTTGTTTCTGCTCATTGGCTTAAAGAGAACCGACATAGTTTACATAACAACATGGAGACGAGTGTGAATATCATGAACTGAATGAATAATGTGGACGCCGTGGAATTATTTAACATTTGAAACACCAATACAGATCAGTATAACTGGCCGCTACATCTCTCCTTTATAACCACATTAGCTGTGGTATGTTTCAGGGCCATTACTGAAAGAAGGCCTTTGCTTATTTCCAGGCTGGCTGCAGAGGCCACGCACGCTTGATAATCAATTTGCTGCTACTCTGCATGCACCCAATCCCTGACAGCCTTCTGTGCATTGTGAAAAGACTGGGGGACGGAGGGGAAGACAGCTCGTCCTGCTCTTCTTGGCCCCCAGCTCTCGCTTGCTCTGTGCTGTCGACACAAGCGCACGGATGGACACTTATGCCCTTGAGCAACCACAATGGAGGGAGTGTCACGTCCCCTCGCAAACATCTGCCAAACACCTACACGCTGACCAAGCAACTCGATGAAAAATGCCAGACTGCTTGCAGTCCCACTGAAGCCCAGAAAACCCTTGGAAAGAGCATGAAAATGCCTGTTAAAGGCAGCGTTCGGTTAGCCCTTTCCAACCAAATAATGAGTTAATTTAAATATCAGAATCAGCCAGTACAAAAAAAAAGAGCCAGATTTTTGCCTGCATTTCTGATGACATTTGGGTGTTGCATACTACAGACCCAAACAGAAAAGCACAGAGATATCATGTGCTGACCAGAATCGTCCAATTCACAGATTCATCAGTCCTGACCAATGACCAGATGGTAGAAACTTTAAGAACTTAATTCCAAAGAATTTATTTTAAAAACTTGTTTTTCCTCTTCCAAGACAAGAGTTGTCAGCAGTCCATTTGGACTCAAAGAGAGAGTGAGATGTTTAAAGAATAAAAGAAAGGGTCAATGAAAAAGACTGGAAATAGACATATCATAAACTATTTCAAAGGTGGGCACCCTTAATCATTCAGCGTCTTCTGGATTTGATAATATTTTCTTCTTCAAAATCGCATAAAGTTCATTTTGGTTCATCTGACATGTGATGAGTCATGAGAATATATTATTTTTATCACCTTTAATTGGAAACTATTCAGATACGTCACATCCATGAGATAAGAACATAAGATGAGGTAATGTTATGAAAACACACACAAAAAAGGAAGTATTTCCTAGAGTCTCAAACAGGTCATTATAAATTTGCGACTAAAAGCACGCTAGTCCTACATGCTAAATATGATAAGTCAGGATGTTTGAGGCAGTCTGCTAGAGCAGAAACGTAGTGAACATCAAATCACTGTAAATGTAGTAACCCCTACATGTTTGACCCAGTCGGTGCAGTTAAAACTCTCAGCATCCTAATAGGACAGCGTTCTCAGCATACCATCTGCAATGAAGACCTGATGAAAGAAGAGCATGGCTCCCTGCCAGCCTCGCTCTCTCTGCTCTGCAATCTGGCCATGTGATGAGGAGGTAGAGCAGGCAGTGCTGCAGCCTCCCTTACTTCCACGCTTGCTGACTAACCCCCACCTTAAAAACGCTGCATATGCCACTGCAGTTCTGCCAGAAACCACAAGTTCCCCTGCAGCTCCTTTTGGGTGACATTGGAATGATGAAAAACCCGAGGATATGGAGTAAAGAAAAGTACTGGGGATTTAACAAATCCTCTTTTTGGTAGACTGCGAGAGACAAAGAGCAAGTGAGGCACATCTAGGAGGGACACTTGATCTTATAGGAGATTCATACAAGCTTAGACTAATGAGGCTGATAAGACTGACAGGAGAAGAGCTGAGGAAAGCCAGAGAGACTGTAAGAAAAACAGGTTTCCTCTGCCAGACGTTGTCGTGTTACTGGGTCAGTAGCTGGTTCTGTTAGCGTCGGGGGGGGGGGGCGGTGTTAATCATCGGACTGAAGCAGGACATACAGCACTGTCATGACTAAGGAGGCAGCTAATACTTCACCACACCTGATGACTCACGATCACAAATAAGCAGGTTGATCACATGACTTTTAAAAAGAGCATTGTGTGTTTTCTTTATTATTTTAAGAGACACTTTATATCCTCCATGATGCCTCAGTTAGAATATTTCAGTATGTGATCTATTCAGTTAAATCATTTTTAATTTATAGCATCTCGATCTGGCATCGGTTCTTTTTATTAGCCACTTCTACAAACCCTGTGGCTTGTTTCAACACATCTTCTTCATGTTTAAAAGTCCTGTGGCCTAGAGACCTGTGAAAGAATCAAAACTTTGGGTTCAGTACCTTACTAACTCATCTCTTGAATGTGTTGTTAAAGGGGATGAGAAAAAACTAACAACGAAAGGGCATTACAAATGAATAATTAATAGAAATTCAGGGATAGCTTTTCCTCGCAATACAGATCTCCATTTTATTTGATGTCTGATCTGAAAATTTTTGATTTCACCAATTCGGGGTTTTTTTATTTTAAAAGAACACCCAAAAATTGAAAATGTGATTTGAGTTTCTTAACTAACTTTTGTCAACTGAATGCTGCATCCCCAATAATTATGTCAATAAATCGCTTTGGTTTTTCAAAAAAATGGCAGTAAACAAAAACCAGAAAATCACATGAAGTAAAAAGTTCACTAAGTGAATGAATAACTTTAATCTATAACGTTTTATTTGCATCTAGAAGGTGCAACACAAGCTGTTAGTGTAAGCCCAGAGATGATGCAAACATAAACTACAGAGCCACAACAATGGCTGTGATTAAGCCCCGATGAACTGGGCTGTGATTGCAGGTCAGTCTTTATAGTGACCTCTGAGTCTCCCCTATCAGGAACAAACTGTGGATTTCTCCCACAGACTTCTCAGGCATGTAGGCCCCAATCAGAGGGGGAGGATTTCCCCCCTGCAAGCCTTTTATTCCCTTTCAGTCTGTTTTGCCTTAACCATCCACCATTCAGCTTGCTCATTCGCCGGCTCTTTGCAAAAGGCCTCCAGAAGAGAACAGCACTGGGGAGGATGTGCAGACAAACCTGCATGAACTCAAAGATGTGGTTTGTGAGGATGCTCTCATGTGTGTGCCAGTAGATTACTTACTTGTAGTGTTGCCTTGCATCTGAATGATACATTTTGACTCCTTGCCCGTTTCCCTGGAGTTGAAGGGTCGGACTCGAACAGCGACTTTTACAGACGCCCCAGACATTCTTGCTGCTCAGGTCGGACTCCCAAGTAAGACTGCTTTTATATTCCTCCTAAAGAAAACACAAAAACAGCATAAGTGCATCCGCGTAATCTAAAGCATTTTACCAAAATGCAAAACAGAATCTAACTTAATACATAAGACATATATCAGCCCTAAAGGCACATAAGAAAAACATAAAGTACATATTATAAATCTCTCAGTTGTGGCATGTAACAGTTTTCCATTTTGGTCTGTGTTGTCAGTAGTCAATCTGCAGGGTTTATTGTTAAAGGTTTCGTGCCCATAAACAACAACAAACAATCTATGTTTCATTTATTTGTAGACGAGTACATTTTCTTTTTCCAAATCAATCAAATAGACTATTAGGTCATGTTTTAAGAAAATTGTACACAAATCTTCAGATTCATCAGTTCTTTTGATTATCTTCATTTAACAAACAAAAAACAAATCTAAGATGAACATCTTGTAAATTTGAAGCAGAATCTTCTTTACTGCTGTTTTTAATGGTAAAAATACATTCCACAGTAAAGAGCATTTGATTGAATCAAAGAACTGTAACAAGTTAAGAAACCAAATTTACACTGGCTACAGAAAAATGCATTAGCCAGGGATTATAAAGCATTTCATAGCAAAACCTATAGTGACATTTTAAATTAAGCAATTCCTTGTTATTTTTGACCCAAATTGTTCTATTTTCTAACTTACAAATAGTTATTACATCTTTAGGGATGGATGTCCCTCCCTCTAACGTGCAAAAGTGTTCACCCAAACAACATTGTTGAATGGGCCTCATTCGCCACTGTATCTAAGATTTTACTGCTTCTTTCTGCTCGCTTTTAGTCCATTTCAGCTCGAGATTCCCAAATTGCCCCTTGTTTTTTTTTTTTTTTTGTTTTTGTTTTTTCAAATTCTAGCAGTCAGCCATACTTGCTGAAGCACACGCCCATGAAATTCTATCTCCCCCCTTTTTCCTTGCTGAGGGCTCCGGCCGGACAACGAGCCCCGGGGGGCCCCGTCTGCTGCATGCGACTCTGCATTGGTGCAAATCAAACAGCGTCCATTTCTAACACTTGGAAAATTAAATTCGCCGATGTTGAGAAGTGGGCTAATCCTCCTGTGCTCAATGTTGTGGGGAGGAGAGTTAAGGCTCCCATCGGCAGCGCAGGCTGGGACGCACTGGTCACGTTTACTTAAAACCACTTAAATGGCTCCAACTGGACTTTTAAACCACAATTTGTAATATTTGTTCATTTGAGCACGGGCGACAGGTTTGTGGTTGGCGTCTCTGTCATCAACATTAAGAGCTAGCAGCGAACCAACTGTGCATAAACGTAACAACACCATCATGTACTTTATTTTATAAAAAAATATATATATATATATAAGTGAGCGCGCATTCCGTCACGTCAATATGTAACAGACACGCAGCTCTGTGACTAATGTTGCAGACAGCTGCTGGCCAGCAGACATTAATCTGGTATAACAACCATTAATGTTATGCATATAACGCATGAACCCAGACCGGTCGTTCATACTCACGTTTGACGACTCTATCCAAGGCGGCGGCGGCGGACGGTGGGGAGAAGTCACGTTAGCTCGCTGGCGTCAGGATGTGTTGTCGGTGTGTTATTTAATCAGAATCTGCACACACGTAAACTGCTACAATGTCCGCTTCCGTGGAAAAAAAAAACACCCATCATAGCGGTCTCCTCCGCCGTCTGGATATGTAAAGTATAAAATGTGAACAAAGTGACTCGGTGAAATAGCTTGTTTTTTTGTTTTTCTTTCCCCCCCCAGTAGCAACAGAAAAAAAGCGGCCGCCCGTCTGCGCCCGAGCGAAAATGGAAATCGATGGATCGTCTTGATTCACCGAAGAGATTACGTCAACTCCCCTTCAACGTGCTGACTGACGGGCCAACGGACCAATCAGCGCAGAGAATCGGGTGACTAAGACATCAAGGAGCCAATGGAATCGGAAATCTGGGATGTGGGCGGAGCCTCTCTCTCCATTTTTCTGCCGTGACGCCACACTGCAGGATTTCTACCCCACCTCTCCCAGCACCGCTGTCACTGTGTCGCTGGGGTCACCGCAAACCAGCGCCCCCTAGCGAGGAATTGAATGAGCCTTTTCTAATGATAAAGGATGCGTCCTGCAAAACTATTTGTTATTGACATTAAAGGAAACCAACAGGGCGGTTTGTGGTGCAGTCCCTATGTATAATATCTGCAACAGAATAGCTTTGACGTTACAATGCTCTTTGAATTAAAATAAAAAAATTTTTAGTGGCAAATTATACACTTTGTATAATTGATGAAGGCTTCATAGCCTTCATCAATTTTAGAATCATGAAAAGGGCTTTCTCAGCTGAATTTGTTTTACAAAATGAAGGGTTTTTTTGTAATAGGTAATCTTGTTCTTGAATCTTAAAATAGAGGAAGCATATTTAATTTTCTTAGTACTTATAATAAACAGTTTTAGTCCGTACACGTCAATGCTTCAGCCAAGATCAGTCTGCCTGTTTTCCAGCATGTTATTTTTAAATTTTCTATTTTTGGGTCATTAAATGCATCCCCCTCTAAGAACTCTGAACATTTTCTCTTAATCAACCAAATGCATCTGGGTCCATGCTCTTTTTGACATCAAGTAGAATGAGTAAAATACTACAAAAAATGTTTATACATTTTATTTTGTTCAAAACTGCCTCTAAAGCAATTTTGCTTTTCATGTCTTCTCACAGTCAGTCTAGAAAGGAAATTGCAATATTGTATTGACTAGAAAAAGTGAGCAGTGCATCTAACATTGTAAGTTTCTAATAGTCTTGAGCTCCATGTTGACATGTATTGATCAGTAAAAATGAAATGTGCGTTTGAGGTTTCTGAAGCTTATTTTAAGCCTCAGAAACACAAACGCAATGTAGTTTTTATTTACATTCAATGGAAATTTCTGTGCTCAGACATGCTCATGGTAAATTTATCTAGTTTCAAACTACACCAAAAAACACCTTTGCTATTATTTAACCCCTGCCTTGCTTTCAGTGAATTAGTTTAACGTGTGACGGTGGATGATTTAACAGAATCAGGTGCTCGTTATGGAGGACAGATTCTGACATAATTGGCAATAAACAGAAATAAATGTTTGAACCTTAGATCAGCTCTCCAAGTAAATCAAAAATCATTACTGTTCAGAAAACAGATTCCAAAATTTGTACTACATTGTCAGGACCTGAATTATGGTCCTGCACAAAAAAAGTGCCTGTAAATATTGTACACGTTTCAAAACTGCCCTGTCTCTTGTCAATTGTTTGGACAATTTTCAATTTCTAAATGTACCACAAAGACCTGCCGAAGACCTTCAATGCTCGTAGATATGCAGGGATTATATAAGATGCATGTTTATCATAGACTTGCATGCAGCTTTTCTGTTAAAGAAAATACTTTCTGAGCACTTAAAGAGCTGAAATGGCTGTTACATGAAATGTGAAGTAACATAAAATACTTGCTTATCTATAAGGAGCTTTGTTTCTACTAGTTTTTTTTTTTTTCATATTTGTCTCTTCCCTCGCTCCCCAACCTCTTCTATAACACAGATACTTGACCTTGAGGTGACAATGAGGTTTTTATCTTCAGATCCAGAACACATACAAGTAAATCAAATTAATAAAGTCAGCAGCAAAATATAACTCAGTTTTTTTCTTCTAAAGTTCCTGCTTATTACGTTCAAAGATTAAATTACATTAGCCTACATCCTTTATGGTTCCACTTGTCATCCATAAGCACAAACATGAGCTGAAGAACACAAACAAGTTTACCAATATTCACACTCTACTTGGCTCTGCTCTCACTCCAGATTTTTTATAAAGCCAAGATGGTTTGAAAAACAGAGCGGCCACTGTAAAGATGATCAATAAGCTTTTCGCAAACAGATTTCTGCTAAATTTTAACACATAAACCAGCAACTGTTCATTGTCTTTTGATATAATTCACACAAACTCAAGAGACAAACTCAAAAGTTTTAACTTTATTATGTTTTGTTTTTAGAACCATGATAATGGTTTGAGACAAAAAGGGTAAATGCAAATAAAAATCCAATCAGGTATCCTTTTTTTCCCTCCACTCAAAATGTCGTTCTCATTGGTAGTAGTGACATTAAATTCAGATGATTTGGAAAGATCCCTTCAAATCAGTAACGCAGCCAGACACCGACGAAGGGTTTGTTAGAAAGGCCGAGCGCCCTGTTTCTCCCTCATCCAGGCGTGGATTCTCTCCTTCAGCTCAGGCACTGCAGGAGTAAGAAACACAAACAAAAACAAACACTTCAAATCAACAAATTAAAAAACAACAACAACATAAAAGTTGTTTCTTCCAATGTTTGAGAACTTTTTACTCTTCTTGGCTGTTCAATAAAGATGGTGATGTTACCTGACTCCAGCATGCTCTCTGTGAGGGGCTGCCTGTTGAAGGGATCAGTGGGGGAGTTCAGCAGGTGGCGCAAGATGATGGATCTGTCCATAATGTTCCCAGAGGGCAGCATCACCGGGTCAGTCATCAGAGTGTCCATCAGAGGGTCTGAGGTAATAGATGTGCAACATAAGGTTAGGAGAAAAATATAGCAAACATTTTTGAATTCTATTTTTTTTTTTTATTCTGAAATGCAACATACAACTGATCATTTTTAATTCTAAAGTTTCTAGCCTTTTAGTTTGTTAGTTCTACCGCACAGCCTTCCAATTTGTACACCAGCTCAAATTGTGCATGGAGCTTAGAACCAGGCAAGTCGTCGTCAGTTTTCAAAAACAGTTTTAACCAAACACCAAAAAAATATATATAAAAAGTCCATCCTAAAAAGCTAAACAGGTGCATTAATAGTAATATTAGTTCACATAAGAAAACAAATGAGAAAAATACCCAATAAAAAGTTAGAGTGCCTCCTATATAGTGAAATGTCGAGTTGTTAATGTGAATCCTGTAGGTTACAAAAATAAAAACCAGACGTGCGATATTGTAATGACACAGACAGCTGTTACGCCTCCGTCCTGGATGGCACACTCCCATCAACTGTGGTGGGCTGGCTGACATAGCTGGGAATCAAAGCTGGTATGCAGATCGCATTCTCTTTGTGGATTATATTAAGTCTGTGGTTACAGGATAGCTTTGCTCTAAGCTGTCTATATGATCCGTATGAGCTGCCAAAACCTGCAGCAAATGTCTGGAATTCAATGAAGACCCTCTCTACCTACAATGACCTGGGGATCACACTGAAGCAGCTGTTTCCCCTGAGGGCAAAGGTTAATTTACGCACTGAATGTGAATTCCAGAGTTCTTACTCCGCATTTACATATTATGATGTACTGCTTATGAACAACTCAGGTTTGACAATGGAAAAAAATAAACTGAATAAATACATAAATAAAATTTGTGCTTTATTTACTTATGTAAAGGAAGCACATCTTGAAACATCAAGAATTCATTCTTCCGGTTGATTCTATAATATTTTTCACAAAGTCTGCAACTGTCTTGTTTATATCCTTGAATATAAGATAATACTTAGAAAACTTGATTTGTGGTTCTTTGGGTGAAGTCGGTTTAGAAGTAGGGATTTATAACTTCAGTTATGTAATCCACATGTTATATTATCTGTCCAAACAGACTTTATTCTTTATTGCAAGGAAATAATTGCAGAATATGTGCAAAATGCAGAAGACTGAGAATAAAGTACTGATTTTGCTTTGTAACAGATACTAAACTCCCAAATATTAGCTTTGCTGATTGAAGAAACGAACCTTTGAACTCATCAGGTGCGTCACTGTAGTCCATCTCTGACTGGGAGTTCTTGGCGACTATTTCTTCCACCTTCTCGGATAGCAGCTTGAATTTCTCAATGGCAATAGAGGACTTAATACCAGCCTTTCTCATCTTGGAAATAACCTCCTCAAATAGCTCCCGGCTGTATGATCGCTGCGAAGAAAATTCACAACACTAAGTAAATGACATTGTGACAGAAGCTACTGCAGGGCCACCACTTTACCAGGTATAAGGGTAAACAGTTTCAATAGAAGTATTTCCAGATAAAACACTTTAAATTTAGTCTCTGAATCAAAATCTTTGATGCAGTCAGTGCCAACCTGGTCATCTGCAATTGCTTTAGCAAAGCGGGCGCAATCCAGTTGAAGGTAGATGTCCGTCAGCTGGTCTAAGAGCTTTTTGGGCTCAAAGCCGTATTTCTCTGGGTTCTCCACCTTCAGGTCCCGGCACTTGGGCCCACAGAGCTGCTGAAGGTTAAAGTTCAGCATAGCAGCTAAACGAGGTCCGAGCTCCTGTGTGAAAAAAAGAGAACAGCCTCAGGAATATTGTCTGGTTTGCAATCACCAAGTCAGGCACATAATTTTGACTTTCTGTGAACAATTAGTTTCTTATTATGGAATTAGCTTCACTTAATACATGGAATGAATCTTGTAGAACGTGCAGAGGAAGCAGCAACACTCACAGGCCTGAGGAAAGGCTTCTGAACCTGCTTGGTTAGGATGTGGAACATTTCAACCGTTTCTGTAGCCAGCGCCAGATAAGAGCGAGACACTCGCTCATCCTGAGTCAGCTGGGACTGGCGGCTCTGCTGCTGCTCCTGGAAGTTTGAAGAAGAAGAGAAAAAACTGGTCGATTAAACTGTGCCTTAACATATCTGATGCCATTTTTGAAACTCAGAAAGAACATGTACAAAAAAAATAAATCATTAATATTACTGCAACACAGCAGGGAGTTCTTGATTTAAAAAATAATAAAGTGGAGCACAGACTCTGGGCAGTTGATCCCACTGCTCCTTATTCTTCAT